GTGGTACTCTCACGGCCACCCCAGTATTGGGCTCTGGGCTCTGGCGGTCTTCGCCTCAGCTGTCCAAGTAGCCGGAACTACAGGTGCATGCTAATTTTTTGTTTCTTGTAGAGACGAGGTCTTGCCAAGTTGCTCGGACTAGTCTCAAACGCGTGAGCTCAGGCAGTACACTCGCCTCGGCCTTCCAAAGTGCTGGGATTACAGGCTGAGCCACCGAGCCTGGCCCAGGTTTTCTTAGAGAAGGAAAGTATAACTATTTTATATAACATCTGTCTCAGGAACTGACAGTTTTGTAGAGCTCATCTGATGTTTATAGCAGTTATGCCTATGAGATAGGTAATGGTTTTTATATTTTTCAGAGAAATATAGAAGATAACAGTTCTGAAGTCAAGGGCCTATTGATTTTGAGTCCTTGGTTAAACTATTTTAAGGAAATATCTAAAAAGTTGTCTTCATTTGAAGTCGATACAAACATTCTGACATGAGAGGAAAAGTTTTCTGTTAAGATTCAAAACAGTAAGTATGAGGGGAGACCCCCAAAAAGGAATTTATTTATAAAAATTTTTGCCGGGCTCAGTGGCTCAGCCTGTAATCCTGCGCCTTGGGAGGCTGAGGTGAGTGGATTGCCTGAGCCCGCGGGTTCGAGACCCACCTGGGCAGCGAGACCTCATCTCTACAATAAATCAAAAAATCAGCTGGGTGTGGTATTGTGCGCCTGTAGTTCCAGCTACTCGGAAGGCTGAAGCGGGAGGATTGCCGGAGCCCAGCAGGTCGAGGCTGCGGTAGCCGGGAGCGGCCACTGCACTCCAGTCTAGGCGACAGAGTGAGACTCCAACTCAAAAAAAAAAAAAATTAAAAATGTTTGTATTCTTATGTGTTTAAACTTCGGTCACCTTCAAAGTACTTTCTGTCTGATGCGGTGTACCTGTTGAGACACTTTTCCCACTGCTCAAAACAGTTTTTGAACGCGCAGATTTTTTTTTTTTTTTTGAGTGGAGTCTCACTCAGTTGCCCAGGCTGGAGTGCTGTGGCACACTCATGGCCACCCTAGCATCGACCTGCTGGGCTCTGGCAATCCTTCCGCTTCAGCCCTCCAAGTAGCTGAAACTATAGGCATGCGCCACCATGCCCAGCTGATTTTTCATTTATTGTAGAGATGAGACCTTGCCAGCTTGCTCAGGTTGGTCTCAAGCCTGCGGACTTGGGCAACCCACCCATCTCAGCCTCCCAGAGTGCTGGGATGACAGGCTGAGCCACTGAGCCCAGCTGGAAACGCATCAATTTTTATGCCTTTTGGTGCTTCAGCAGTTTTTTGTTTCGCCTCTTCCACACTGGCAAAACATTTCTCTGTTAGGGCTTTTTTTCATCTGGGGAAACAAAGAAAGTAACTCAGAGTGAGACTGGGTGAATAGGGAGAATGGAGCCCAGGCAACATGCCGTTTGGGGTCAGAAATTGCTGGACACTCAGTGCAGTGTGAGAGGTGCTCTCACAAATCTCCCATCGCGAAATGGGCAAATGCGTTGCAAGAGTCTCCTAAGAGTTCCCGCTGAAGCCCGACGCAGCCTCTCACAACAACGCTAGCTGGTGTATTGATGCCGATGAGTTCTAGAACACTCACCTAGCTGGGGAAGCCTGTGTTATAAGGGGTGTGCCCTCCAAAAGGTAATTCCAGTGCTTTTTGGGGTCCCCTGTTGTATATGAATTGGTGAAACAGTCTAAAAACATCGATTAGGGGTTTCTAGACCCTTTCAGTTCCATTTTCAGTTAAAAAATGGAACATGTATCCCTGTGTGTGCTTATTTATAAATGATGTATACTGCTGTCATTATAAATAACGTAACCATATATAAGAGACACTTCAAAATGAGGAAGTACATATCACTAGAAGATGTACTATTTTCTTATTGCATCCCCGCGGGGGCTTCTGTGTCCCCTGGTGCAGCTACTCCTTTGGGAGACCGTTGGCCTAGATCACTGATGGGGGCACCCAGCTGAGGCATCTCTGTTTTTTGGCAAGTTACCTTTACATAGGTGATTATGACTTTGATGTGCACCAGCGTTTGAGGCCCGTTGGTCTGTATCCCTCTGACGTCTCACAGTTATTTATGAGTGAAGGCAAAGAAGGGGCTTGGCAGTGAGAGGGTTGGCCACCCAGCTTGGGGTCAGTTGGAAAGGGGCTCCTCATTTTCTCGTTTCTTTTGAGTTTTTTGACTCGGAGTCTCACTCTGTCACTGAGGCTGGAGTGCAGTGGCATGCTCCCGGTCACCGCAGCCTCGACCTGCTGGGCTCAGTGGGTCCTCCTGCCTCAGCCTTCCAAGTAGCCGGAACTACAGGCACATGCCACCACTCGCGGCCAGTGTTTTGTAGAGATGAGGTCTCGCCAAGTCGCCCAGGCTGGCCTTGAACCTGCGGGCTCAGGCAGTCCTCTCACCTCGGCCTCCCCAAGTGCTGGGGTTATAGGCATGAGCCACCGCCTGGCTTCCTCGTTTTCTTTTTCTTTTTTTCTGAGTCAGAATCTCACTCTGTCGCCCAGGCTGGAGTGCAGTGGCATGCTCACGGCCCCCGCAGCCTCGACCCGCTGGGCTCCGGGATCCTTCCGCCTCCGCCTTCCGAGTAGCTGCAACTACAGGCCTGCGCCACCACACCCGGCTGATTTTTGGATATACTGTAGAGTGAGGTCTCACCAAGGTGTCCAGGCCGATCTTGAACCCTTGGACTTGGGCAGCCCTCTCACCTTGGCCTCCTGAAGCGCCTAGCCTTCGTCTTCGAGATGGTCGAGACTCGCCCCAAAGTCCGTCGTGGCGACGGCCTCCTGAGCTCGTCTGTCTGGGTTTCCCGCGGCCTTTGCAGTGCTCCCTCTGAGGTGCGGCTCTGAGGGCTGCGTCTCCTCCAAACGTGAGGAGTCCGTTCTTCACCGCAGAGCAGAGTCCGCATTCCCCGACGCGGCGTGCGAGCCTTTCCGACTCTGACCCCTGCTGGCCTTCTGGGTTCGTAGCTCTCACTGCCTCTGCCCCGTCTCGGCCCCCCTGGAAAGCCCACCTCTGCAGAAGCAGAACAGCAACTGCAGAAGGCCCCCTGCTCCAACCAGCCTCCACGGTTTGTGGTTCACCGTGAACTCTCCCCTGTTCGGTTGTGCTGCCGGCTCTGCGTCTCTTGGTGGCCTCGTTGGAAGGCGTCTGCTGACGGTTGAGATTCCGTGTGAACATCTCTGGCAGGCCTCTCTCAGCAGCTGGGCCCTCTGCTGCGTGTCGCACGGCAGCACTTACTGAATCGCTGTCTGCGTTCGCTGTCATCATGCTCTCCCCTGGTAGACTGAGTTCCTCAAGGCTAAGAATATGGAGTTAGAATGAAAGGGTCATGAGGACAGGTACTGATGGTGTAGGGTGTGCGACAGGGCCTGGCATGTAACAGACACTCAGCAGCTATTATTGGATTAGTCGGGGAGGCTTTACGTGGATCTCGTGCATTAAATAAATTGTAAAGGAATAAGTGAATGCATTGTAAAATCCCCAAAGTATGCTTGTTTTATGGGGCAGACTTTGACAAGAAGAGCCTGTTCCCTGAGATCTTGAATACTTGGCTTTGCTGATCCTAGGACACAAGGAGCAAATCCACGTTTGCTATGTAATATCTGATTTTGCCGATGGTATAGGAAAGACTTGAATAATTTCTACTGTGAGTCGTGATATTGGTGTTTAAATGAGAAGGTCTAGAAGAAAGCAGGGGCAGCCTTCTTGACACCGGTCTTGGCGGCGGCTTTTGGATGAGACGCCGAGAGCGCGCCCACGAAGAGCAGAGTGAGCGAGTGGGACCGCCGCCGGCAACGCCGCTTCTGCCCAGCCCGGGGAGCGGCCAGGCGAACGAAAAGGCAGCCCGTGCTGGGAGGGAATATTTGCGCCCCTTGTCCCTGACTCTCAAGTACACGAGGAACTCAGCTCAGCAGCAGAGAAACAAGTAAGCCACAATGGGCGTTCTGAACCCAAGGGCGCCTTTCTCCAGAGCATACATCCAAGTGGCCTGCCGGTCGTGGAGCGAATGCCAGTTGAATCGCAGCGAGAGACTGACCAGCTCGCACCTCTCAGCCCAACTCTCACCGCAAAGTCGAGATCACGATGCTGGCAAGGGCTTGAAGAGAAGAGAGCCTTGCGCGTGGTTGGGGGAGTGCAAGTTGGTGCAGCCGCTGTGGAACATGGTCTGGAGCCCCCTCGAGGAGCCAAGACCAGAACTGCCACGTGACTCATCCTCTTCTAGGCTGGACCCAGAGGAAGGGAAGTCGCCGTCTTGTAAGGAGATCTGCGCTCCCACGTTCATCGTAGCATCATTCACCGTCACCAAGACGCAGAAACCGCCCAAGTGTCTGTTGACGGGATGCATGGATGGATAAAGAACTTGAGGCGTGTGTGTGTCTGCTGTGGATAAAGAGCTCATTCGGCCTTCAAGAGGAGATACTGCCATTGGGGACAGCATGGGTGAACCTAGGTGACACTATGCTGAGTAAAATGAGCCAGACGAAAGAGAATGCTGCGTGACCTTACCTCCATGTGGAATCGGAGCAAAGCGTGAAAGCCCAGAAACACAGAGGAAAGGACGGGGAGGCGCAGCCCAAGGGGCGCGCAGTGGCAGTCAGGCAGGGTGGGGGAGTGAGGGAGCTGGCGGTGGGACATGAGGACGAGAGTTACCGGTCCTGTGCCGCATGCTGTCGTTTGCCAGGAGAGGAGAGTTCAGGTGCTCTTACCCCAGAGAAAGACTGACAAGGTTGGAGCGGAGACCGTGTGGCATGATGGGCACGTTAATTTGTTTGACTGTAGCGGTCGCTGGGTGTCTGTAGGCCCAAACAAGGATGTCGGAACGTGTTGTGCCCCTCAAATATACACGGTAAAACCTTGTGAAAATCAGAAAAGCAAAAGAGAAGATCTAGAAAAATAGCTAAGTAAGTTCATTACATCTGAGAATTCTTTCCCAGTATTAATCGAGATATTATTTTTACTCTCTTCTGTAGGGTGTTTGTGAACCGAAGTTTAGCCATGGAAAAAATCAAGTGTTTTGGTTTTGATATGGATTACACTTTGGCTGGTGAGTAGCGATTCCTGATTGCCTCAGAGATGTTGCTTTGTTTGGGTCTATGCAATGCGTCCACAGTAGGCAACTTAATAAACACTTGCTAGTTGAGTCATGCGTGTTGGCTGCCAGAAGGTCTTATTATTAAGCTGCTTCCACTGAGATTTGTGAATATTGCAGCTGTCAGACATCTTTGAGATTTGCTTCATGAGCTTGTAGTAACAGGTAGAACAAATACTGAATTACATTTTAGAGACCCTGGTAAGAAACAGTGTGGTAGAATCATACATTAATGTGTATATTTGGGCATTTGGGGCATTTACTCAGTTTTTTAGGATTGCCATTTTGTATCTCTTTGCCGCAAGGTCAACTTGTATCATTAAGAATTTTAATGTTAAAAAAGGAAAAAAAGGTTTTTGAGGCTATTCTGAACACAGATGGATAATGTGTTCATTTTCCGTTGAAATGATTGTTCATGTAATATGTAAAAGGCTCTTAATATTGGTTTTATTTATTATCCCCTAGCCCTTAAACACCAACATTGTGCTCTTTGCCCCTTCCTGTCTCTGAGATGCATTTGAAATAATCAATGCATTCGTCAATACTTATAACGTCTTTTCAGAACTTAAGTTAAATGCTGCAGTCTGGTGAAAATGTCATTTAATGTAAGCAGTTGTAGAGATGAAGGACCAACTTGAGCGCGTGTGCCTGGGTGTTTGCACATGTATGTACAGCTGTGACATTTGGAAAAGAACCTTTCAGAAATTGTCTCTAAAGAAATTTGTCTTGGCCAGGTGTGGCGGCTCACGCTTGTAATCCTAGCACTTTGGGAGACTGAGGCGAGAGCATTGTTTGAGACCAGCCTGAGCAACAAAGCAAGATCTCATCTCTAAAACAAATAAAAAAACCAGCTGGGCATGGCGGTGTGTGCCTGTAGTCCCAGCTCTTGGGAGACTGAGGGGGAAGGAGGTCAAGGCTGCGGTGAGGCATGAGCGTGCCACTGCCCTCCAGCCTGGGTGACAGAGTGAGACCCTGACTCAAAAAAAACAAACACACACTTTTTTGTCTTCAAGGACATAAAACCTTAATGTATAAATTCATTTATCTTCAGGAACTATTTATATAGCAGTATTGAAAACCAGTTTCCATCTCAAATTAGACAAACCTCAGTTTGGTGTTCAGTTTAGGCTATCAGATAAAGAATTCTTCTAAAGGCAATTCTTTAAGGCAAAGAATTTAACGCAAATGAAGAATTCTAACTCTCCAGGGAAAGGAATGGTGAGATAATTTGACAGCTGAAAGAGACGTTCTCCAAAGCAGAAGTATTAGTTAATGGGGTTGAAAAGAGAGAAATTTTTCCCCTGGGTTATTAAGACAGTCATAGTATATTCACATAGTTCAGTTCAATAGGTAGTTATTGATACTCTAATGTGCCTGGCACATCTTGTTACTGAAAATCGAGATAATTATATATCTCCACAGGACAATGAGAAAATGAACTCTCTTGTTTATTGAAAAAAAAATCACTGAATCTTAGTCTCTAACCCTTAATGATAACTTATGATTTCTTTTTTTTTTTGGAGTTGGAGTCTCACTCTGTCGCCCAGACTGGAGTGCAGTGGCTGCTCCCGGCCACCGCAGCCTCGACCTGCTGGGCTCCGGCGATCCTTCCGCCTCAGCCTTCCAAGTAACCTGAATTACAGGCATGCGCTACCACGCCCGGCTGATTTTTTGATTTATTGTAGAGATGAGGTCTTGCTGCCCAGGTGGGTCTCGAACCCACAGGCTCAGGCAATCCACTCACCTCAGCCTCCCAAAGGCGCAGGATTACAGGCTGAGCCACCAAGCCCGGCTAGCAACCTTTTTTTTTTTTTTTTGAGTTGGAGTCTCACTCTGTCGCCCAGACTGGAATGCAGTGGCTGCTCCCGGCCACCGCAGCCTCGACCTGCTGGGCTCCGGCGATCCTTCCGCCTCAGCCTTCCGAGTAGCCGGAATTACAGGCATGCACTATCATGCCCGGCTGATTTTTTGATTTATTGTAGAGATGAGGTCTCGCTGCCCAGGCGGGTCTCGAACCCGCGGGCTCAGGCAATTCACTCACCTCAGCCTCCCAAAGGCGCGGGATTACAGGCTGAGCCACTGAGCCCAGCTTAATTTTTTAATTTATTGTAGAGATGAGGTCTCGCCAAGTTGCCCGGGCGGGTCTCGAACCCTTGGGCTCAGGCAATCCACTCAAAGCACGGGATTACAGGCTGAGCCACCAAGCCCGGCTATGATTTCTTCTTTTTGCTTTCTTGTTTTTTGTAGTGCTGCTAATTTTTAAATTTATCGTAGAGATGAGATCTCGCCAAGTTGCCTGGGCGGGTCTTGAACCCATGGGCTCAGGCAATCCACCCAAAGCATGGGATTACAGGCTGAGCCACCGAGCCCAGCTATGATTTCTTCTTTTTGCTTTCTTGTTTTTTGTACTGCTGCTCCATGTTTTAATGCTTTCTCCTTGTCTAGACGTTAATATGCGTTGTATATATTTAACAGTAACTTAACCTTTTTAAAGTGCTTATTGTATGCCAAGTGTTTTACCTAGATTGTCTCATTTAATGCATGGAGTCAGAACACAGTGACATTGATAGACTATCCTGAGCCTAGGACTGGTGCTTTTGAGGCATCTGGATGGGACGTTGCAGCTCAAAGGGCTTTCTTGTTTTGGAATGGTGTGTCTGTTAAGACCCACCTTATCATATTGTAAATTTGCCTAAATTTGTTCTGAAGAAGCAGCTAGGGAGGGTTTCCTCCAAGTCTTTTTCCTTGTTTTCAGATGTGGGAAATATGTAGAACTTCTTTATGGAATGGGGGGATAGGATTTAATTTTGGCAAATAAAGTTGTTTTCATATGGAAACTGTTTTTGGTCTTCTAGAAAATGCCCACAGAAGACCTTCTTTGCAGGGAGAGCGATCATGGTTTGGTTTTATTTTGATTTCTCCACTTTTTGTGGTTCATTTTAGTGGAAAAAGTTTTCAGTAATCCCAATGTTTGTAAGAACCCTGCTCTTTATGTCTGATGTTGGGGTTGATAGAGTTAATGGTGACAATCATTTAAAACTTAGATTTGTCAGTAATAAATGAGGAAGAGGCTAACTGGAGCAAAAATATATACATGGACTGTAGGAATGTTAAGCTGTATGTATAATAAATCTAAACTTGTAGTTGTCCAGAAATTAATTATGTAGACCTGTGGTAGAATGGTGTTAAGGAAGGCTATGAGGGAGTTTGTTTTTGTTGGGGGTTTGTTGAGAGTTACAAGTAGTTTGTTAAAAGGGAAATTGATATTCTTACTTTGTATTAAGTGTTCTTGGGTAATCGTTTATTCCCCTAATTAAGTGTTCTTGGGTAATTACACTTGGGTAATCGTTTATTCCCCTAATGAGGCATGTCACACAGTTCAGTTACATAATTCATTCTGGTGGGAGCCTCATCTTCCTCTCATCTGAGGACCAGCCTGTACTTGAACCCTTTTCCAGAGAAGATCCATTTATCATCAGTTATCCCTACACTTGAAGCCAGTTATGCATATTTTAATGTTTTTATTAGTCTGCAAGATTTGTGATTAAGACTGACTTTTTTCATAGAACAGAAGCCTGATGATGCAAAAAACTTATTCACTGACATAAACTCATTTCTTTTGATTGTCTTGGACCTAAATCAGTATTAATCCTGAATCTACTTCCTATAGGGTGACAGTATTAGTATTTAGCTCCTTATCTCTATAATACTGTAAGTTAGCACTTTGTTTCTCTGATGAGATTCTGCACATTGGTTATGCTTTCACTATGGATGACCCTTGAACTACATGGGGGTTGGGGCAGTGGAAAATCCACGTAGAACTTTTGGTTCCCCCAAAACTTAACTAATAGCCTAGTGTTGACCAGAAGCCTTACTGATAACAAAGTCGATCAGCGCACGTTTTGTGTGTTATATGTATTGTATAATGTATTCTTTTTTTTAGTCTGAGTCTCACTCTGCCGCCCAGGCTGAAGTACAGTGGTGCATTCATGACCACTGCAGCCTGGACCTGCTGGGCTCCGGCGATCCTTCCACCTCAGCCTCCCATGTAGCTGGCACTGCATGCATGCACCACCACGCCCAGCTGATCTTTTGATTGATTGTAGAGACGAGCTTGCCAGGTGGCCCTGGCTGGTCTCGAACCCCTAGGCTCAGGAAAGCCACTTGCCTCAGCCTTCCAGAGTGCTGGGGTGACAGGCATGAGCCCCCGTGCCTGGCCACATCGTGCACTCTTTTTTTGTTTTTGTTTTTGTTTTTTTTGAGTTGGAGTCTCACTCTGTCACCCAGACTGGAGTGCAGTGGCCGCTCCCGGCCACCACAGCCTCGACCTGCTGGGCGCCGGCGATCCCCCCGCTTCAGCCTTCCAAGTAGCTGGAACTATAGGCGCACGCTACCACGCCTGGCTAATTTTTGATTAATAGTAGACATGAGGTCTCACCAAGTTGCCCAGGCGGGTCGCGAACCCGTGGGCTCAGGCAATCCACTCACCTCAGCCTCCCAAAGTGCTGGGATTACAGGCTGAGCCACCGAGCCCGGCTCACATCGCGCACTCTTACAGGAAAGTCAGCTGGAGGGAGGTGTCCCGAAAGACCGCGAGGAAGAGAGCTGCACTTCCGACCCTGCAGTGGAAGTGGCTCGCCATGCAGGGCTTCTCTTCGTTGTCTCTGCACCGAGCAGGCCGAGGCAGAGGAGCAGCAGCCGGAGCTGGGAGGCAGGGCGGAGGCAGGTGCGCCATCTCTCGACACCTGTGTTGTTCACGGCCACCTGCAGTTGTCTGTTCAATCCAGAAGAGTGTGTGTGTGCAAGTCGAGTCTGGAGCCCGGACGATCCTGACCACCATGTGTGTCGGCCCTGCCGGTGGCTGAGCCTGGGCTGTGTCTCCTGCGAAGTTCTCTCTCGAGCCGCCACTCGGCCGTGTCCTCGCCCGGGAGGTGTGCCTGCACCAGGAGCCGTCC